ATTTGCCTTTTTTATGAATAGATATATAAATACCGGTATAAGTAAAAAATAAGTAAATTGTTCTGCATGGATGTTTGGCCGAGCGGGAATACAACCCACAATCTCCTGCATGAGCATCAGGGTCCCCACAAGTAGGCCAAAAAAGAGCAACTATAGGCCTACACGCTCTTCGTACGTGACATGTAAAAAATAATATATAAGTATTCTGCTGGCAACAATGCGAACGAAACTGCGAGCGAAAGTCTGTATATAAGGTTAGCGCGCATGCGCTTTCTTACTCCATCCCCCCCCCCTCGAAACGACAGCTTAGTCAGCGCGTGTGTTAACTCGTTCTGATGGATATTTGAAAACGTCAGTTGGTGACAGTTTAAATTTCTTACCAAAAGGAAGTTCTGTTCGGCAATTTTAAGAAAAGAAAATGTTTTCGACGAAGAGAAAGTTGGGAACCCAAATTTAATTTCCTAAAACTTGACCAAAAGTACGAAACCACACTAACCATTAATACAAATCTAGCTCAGAAATAGCACACATGTTCAAATACATGAAAAAAGTAAGACTGCTGCAAACTGCTTACTGACTGGATGGACCTGAAATATATAAATCTAAAAATTAATGTGGCCTGGCGTTGCGAACTTAGCAAGTTCTTCTTCAGAGGCTAAAACAGAAATGACAGAGGTACATACATTAACATGGGGGTGCACACAAACATGCAGGGATGAAGGAAGAAACACAAAAGGAGGATTAGGTGGGAAAGGTGTGGAAAGATGCAGGGGAGGGTGGATGAGAGAACAAAGAAACAAAGGGAGATGGCAAACCACAAGGGGTCTGGTATGAAAAATATTAATATTAATATTTTTCTTCCTCCATTGTCTTCTGTTACAGATAATCCACCTGGTCTTCATTGTTTGTGTTTCCCCATCTTTCCCCATCTTTCATCCCTTTCCACCTCCATACTGTTCCCCCCCCCCCCATAATCCCCCTTCTCTCCCACACTCTTTTGTCCGTTCCCACTCCCTGTGACCTTTGATCCTTCCCCTTTCTGGTCCCTCCCCCGTTCATACCAGACCCCTTGTGGTTTGCCATCTCCCTTTGTTTCTTTGTTCTCTCATCCACCCTCCCCTGCATCTTTCCACACCTTTCCCACCTAATCCTCCTTTTGTGTTTCTTCCTTCATCCCTGCATGTTTGTGTGCACCCCCATGTTAATGTATGTACCTCTGTCATTTCTGTTTTAGCCTCTGAAGAAGAACTTGCTAAGTTCGCAACGTCAGGCCACATTAATTTTTAGATTTATGTTCAAATACATTTAGACTTCAAACTAATAAAACGGGTCGCTCGGAAATAAATGGGAAACCTAAATTATCAGCTGAAAATATTATTGTGAAATCTGAATTGGTGAATTTTACGAGCTAAAAAAGAAGCATTTTAAGGGAAAACGTACTTTCGAGTAGTTTAGAGAAAAGGCAAACTGTGCCTTGGTATTCTATGAAAAATGAAATACAGCCGTTGCCAACACTGCTTACTGACTGGATTAAACTGAGATTATAGCTAACCAAAAAAGTTAGAGGGCCCGTCTCCATCGTGACAGGACCTGGCTTGCGGAATATTAATAAACACTTTTTCAGGAAATTGTGATGAATGTACCTCACCTAAACAATAATGGTATCGTCTGCATTGACGGTTGGGCTATAAGGCGACAACTCGCAGACCCTTTCGCTCGTACCCCCCGCCCTGCAAACAGGACGCTGGGATACTCTGATTAATAAACGCTCTGATTGGTTGGATTTTGCGTGACCAGTGACCTGAACGTCATCAAGGTCATGATTCTGTAAGGTTTGAAACGGCCGTTAAGACTGATTCATTACTCTTTTATTCCAGTTTAGAACTATTTTTTTTTTCTCGTTGAAAAGCGTAGGCCTAATAATGTAGGAAATTCTGTAAAACTTATCTGTGTTGTAAATTTACAATTCCCGTCGCTCGCTCAGGCTCCGTTTCGAATCACGAACGGTCGGATTGCATTATGTGACGCACAAAATTTGGCCAACATGGTCCGCGATGAAACAGAAATCACATCCGGTATGGAATGTGCGCAATTCTATAAACATTTTCGGATATTATTTGCGCACATTGTCTAACTGCGGTCTTGAACAGTTGCAGCCAGATGCTTTATACATAGGTCATAGGCCACTTCCTTCACAAAATTCTGTGAAGCTCATCAGAGTATCCCAGCGTCCTGTTTGCAGGGCGGGGGGTACGAGCGAAGCAGGCCCTCAGCCTTTTTGAACCTTGTTCTTCTAAAAAATCTCACGTGACGTTTGCATCAACTTAACTAGGTCGATACGCATTGTTGGCCACGGCAAAAATGGCGCCCATACTGCGCCACATCAGTTATCACTGACGTTTGCGGCGTTTTGCCAGGTCACGGCAGTACATGTACATTAGGTGATGACCGATTTTCTCCGACGGTTCCACATACATGATACATATATATTTAGTGGCTTAGGCCAAACAAAAAAGTCTCCGGTTTCTGGTATGCGCGCGCGTCGCCGTAGCCATGCGCGTCGGCAAATGAAAACGTTTTTTTTCAATGAAAGATGATGTCTCAAAACTGCCAAAACTCACTGGTTTGACTTGAATCCTGCTGCTGCACAATTTTAACGTGTTTTTAGATTGGGTTATGGTCGAGAAAAAGCCTTATGTGGCCTCTCTGGACTCTCATATATTGGCACTAAGTTTAGTCGGGCACCATTTGCAGTCATCAGCCGACATTTGAAGAAAAAAAAAACCAGGTAAAAAAAAAAAAAAAGCCGCGTCGCCGCACCACTTTTTGGGCAAGCTCCATACCAGAAACCGGAGACTTTTTTTTGGCCTTAGCAAAGATGTCTACAAACGATCACCCCTTTGTCCCGTAGTGGGTGTTGCATTCAAGGAAGACTGTGACAAGTTTTTCTCATTATTTTTCATGTGAAGTATCAATGAAACTCATGTAACCGAGCTGGAAAGGCTACGCAGAAAATTTGAAAGAGACACAGGGATATAATTCCACTTAATTGATCAAAATTTGATTACTACAAAAAACTACAACAAAACTGCAAAAAAAAACGACAGTCATTCTTCAGCAGTCTGTAATAACAGAAAACAGAAGAATAGAAATTAATTTAATTACAAATATACAATGACTATGAATCCAATATTCAATTATTTAATTATTTGAAATAACCATCTCTCCTTATCCTTGGTTATCTCTCGTCATGAGAAATTGCATTACTGATTCTATAAACCTAAATTTCCATTGATTTGTTCCATAGAAATGTTTTTGCTGCGAATTTACAAGTTCATTTCTTACGAGAGGCATACAAATATTAAAGGCATAAAAATTTAATTAGGAAGAAATAATCTCCATAAGCACTTGCTATGCAATAATTTTACAACACATTAATCTCCAAATCTCCAATTCTCTAAATCTCCAATTTCTTAGGCACATTTCAAGCAATAATGTTTTATACACGTACCCAAATATTATGGATGCTGGATAAGGGATACACTGGTCTACTCGAGAAGGCTTCTCTATTTGTGACCATCAGGAATCACAGAACCACAGAACCACAAGCAGTAGCTGTAATAAAATTACTGTACATAAACTACTTTTGCCCCCCCCCCCCAAAAAATGCGTTCTGGATCCGCCCTTGACAAAAACATCGCTGCAAGATGACATCTCCCCCCCCCCGTTTTTTTCTTTTTCTTTCTTTTTTTCTCCGCTTTATATTTTCTTCTTCTTTTTTTTAAACTGAGCTGTTTGAGTTGTTTGACGAAGTGATTAAGACTCGTTGGATGCGGAGACTAATAAAAAAGACATTCCTGTCTGTGAAATAAGTAAACGATAATGAATGAATGAAACTGCACACAGCTTGAATAGATATGCTTGTTTGCATGTCATACTCATACACACACAGAATTGAATGAGTCATTAATTAAACTGACAATATGGAAATGCTATTGAACACATGCCACAGATCATTTTAAGATACATGTCTTGAGCAAAAGACTACAGATTTGCACTGTAGAAATTGTGCATTTTCATTGCTATGTAGCCTATATCACGTAAACATCTTGCAGGCTGATAGGCCCTATGTGCTGAAAGAAATCTTATATATACATGTAGATGCAATATATATATATATCATTCATTATTGCACACGCAGAAGTGACACGTTAGAAGGCACGTCATGTTTCACACTTTGACCCACGCCTCCATCAAGGGGGGAAAAGGGGACATGATACTTTACGCGCTACAAATACGTAGATACATCAAAGCCAACCTAACAGTTGCAACAGACTGCAGTGAAAATAGTATTATTCAATATTCTACATATCTTAATTAGGCGAAGTCCACTCCCATTGCTAAACGCAACAATCTTGAACAGTTTAACATCAAGTGTGTATGCCTATGTGAACCAGAATTAGTGCGTGGCACGTTCCGCGACACTGTGAAATTACCTCTGTGGTGGAGACGTCTTCATTTTTATAATGCCGTAAGGCTTAAATTTAAACTACAATCATGCTTACACTATATGCGTACACTAAGTCTTCATTCACCATTTAATTAAGGCCTACAAATATCTTGCATATTTAACTCACCGCGTAATCTTGCTCCGGGGAAAGTTATATTTCTTCATACGTGCCTTCCTCCATTACCTTTGAGAGAATAAAGAATTCAGTTTTGTTTGATTCAGGCAAATTTGTTCCTATATCTTACGATACTTGGGACTTTAATTTCTTTTCATCGCAGATTTCTTTTCATCGCAGATAACATCCAAAAGGTTCTAATGCAAGTGAAACGGGGTTTCTGACCGGCTGTCTTAACTTCAAAACCTCTAAAGACGGCCACGTTAGACACCTTGCTCTGTGTGCCTTCACTGAGGGCATGGTTTGTTATTTATTACAACAAAAATGAAGTATTCTGAAGCTTTCTGCCGGAATAATTCTGAATGGCAGCCTTACCTCTGTAACCTCTTGTGCTCTTTTACGCTTGGCATTGGACCGCAATGTGCAAAAAGTTGCAATGACGACGATTACGAACACAGTCACCGCAGCCGGTATGCCGATGGCCAGCAGCTGCAGTTCATCTGTGAGAAATAGGACAAGACATAAGCGACCATCAAAAGTAGAAGCCTTTGCAAAGGAGGCAGCAAGCTCCCCAACATCGTTCGAGCGAGTGAGTAATTTAATGAGTGTAACGAGTTTCACCAACTCAGACTTGTGTGCCTAGCTCGATTAAGCAAACCAAGTCAGACTTGTTTGCCTAGCTCGATTAAGCAAACTTTATTTTTTTTTACCAACCTAGTTTGTCGTTGACAATCAATTCCATGACTCTCTCTCTAAACACTGTGCCTCCGTCGGGACACATCACCCTGCATGTGATGCTTCCCAGTCGATGCTCTGGGCGAATCTGCAGGTGGATTTGACTCGAGATTTCCCGATTCCCGTTGGCCTCTTCTTGGCGTAACTGGGTCCAAACTGGAAGAATCTCTGTCTTTGTTTTGATCAGCCAGGTGATGTTACTGGCTGGATTCGAACCTGACGCGTTGCAGGTGAATCGATAGCGACTTCCGATTGTGACATTAGCGCTGCACACCGTCTCGCTCTCACATGAATGTGTGGTGTTGACATGCAGGGTCATGGCGCTTGGTGGATCTAGAATGAAACCACAATATTGTTATTTCATTTTATTTTCGATTTTCACACCCCATACCCCCCCAAGGGAGAGATATTTGTTTTTGTAAATTGTTTGAAATGAGATATCGAATGTGAAAATCGGCAGCCGTTTAATTACGGAATAGCTTTACAAATTTTGAATTATTTCCGGCCCGACAATAATTTAGTTTTCATAGAGTAGGCTGGTTCCTCGCCCTCAATCAGAAGGTAAAGTAGGGACTGGGAAGCAGTCTACTCGCTTAGCGGATCGTCCACGCACACACCATTTTTTTTCAGGGGATTGCAGAAACTCCCATTAGATCTATGTACCGCTAAAATATAAGATAAAGTTGACAATTTATTGGGAGAAAAGACTCAAATTTGTTGAATATCACAGAGAGTGAATGATCACAATACTTTTGAGTCATTGAGTTGCCCGCGATTTAAGGGACATATTGGCGCTAGCTGTCGAAGCTTTGAGTTCACAAACCGAAATGTCTAGAATTATCCGCGAATTTGGAGCAAAAAAAATGGCTCTAGCTCTTAAAGAATCTTGACATCAAAAGTTGTCAGCGATTTGGGGGACAAATTTGCACTAGCTAGGGCAGTTTCAAGTTCACGAACGTGGGTGTCTTTATTTGTCGCGATATGGGTGACAAATAATTAGCACTAGCTGGCGGAGTTTTGAGTTCACGAAGGTATATGTCCAGAGTTGTCCGCGATTTTGGGGACAAAATGATTGGCACTGCCTGGCGGACTTTTTGAGTTCACAAACGCGGTGGATGTATAGACTAAATTATACGACCATTCCAAATGGAAACCATTACGGAAGTCGCACCTACATTGAGTAATTTATTGATGAGATAACGAGTTCCTTAACTGAAACTTTCGTGTCGGTTTTTTTCAAAACATCGTGTTTTTTCACCCACCTAGTTTCATGACTATCTCTCTGAACACAGTGCCTCCGTCTGGAAACGTCGCCCTGCATGTGATGCTTTCCTGGCGATGCTCTGGGAGTATCTGCAGCTGGATTTGACTTGAGGTTTCCCAGTCCTCGTTGGTCTCATCTTGGCGTGACTGACTCCAATCTGGAGGGATCTCTGTCTGTCCCATTCCCGAGCAGGCATTGGTATTGATCAGCCACGTGATGTTACTGGCTGGATTCGAACCTGACGCGTTGCAGATGAATCGATAGCGACTTCCGATTGTGACATCAGCGCTGCACTCCGTGTTGCTCTCACATGAATGAGTGGTGTTGACTTGGAGGGTCATGGCACTTGGTGGATCTAGATTAAACCCGGGGGGGGGAGAAATTGTTTTAAAAAATGTTTAAAATGGGATATTGAACGTGAAAATCGGCACACTTCAATTTTGGAATGACTTTGAACAAATTATGAATAATTGCCGACCTGACAGAAGTTCACTTTTCGTAGGGTAAATTGGTCCCCCCCCCCCACCAATCAAAATCGAGAATGTTACGACCGGAAATCGGTCTACTCGCAAGGCGGAGCTGTTTGCGAGCAAACACAAACCAAAAAACTCCTTTAGTCAGAAGGTTGCAGAAACCCAAATAACTTTCCCCATTGCACAAAATGAGCTCTGGCCGTTTTGCTAGAAGCCTTGCATAAAAATCTTGCATGAAATTGACAGACAGACAGACCATCCTGTCTGGATGGACTAATCGACCGACCGACCACCAATTGATATGTAGAAGCTCCTGTTTTAAACATTTAAGAGGAAAAAACTGTTATCTGTAGTACACGGACAGTCATTGTTAAAATCAATCAAGAGTTAATATTTGTTCAAAGAAACCACACAGGGAAACTGACTGGGTGCTTATGGTGTTGTTTGCATGATCCCCCCCCCCCCCCCCCCCGTATTTGAAAGAAAAAGCTCTCGGCTTTAATCTGATATCAAAAACATTAACGTACACAGATCACGTTTTTGAAAAATAGGCAAATTTTCCAAGGTTGCGCTGTTTTGGGTCACCCTGTATAGGCCTACTAACTTTAATAAGTTGTTTGTGAAAACCTTATTTGTCGATACAAAACAAGTTTAAAACTGCCTTAACAAAAGTTTCGAAAAGTCATGAGTCTGTTTACCTGTAGGAATAGATTTGGGATGAAATATAGAACTAGTCTACTTACACATTACGTTTAACGTCAAACTCGCGTTTTTACTAGCCGGTTGCGATACACACATCAACGTGGATCCTGTCTGGTCTCTGTACAACTTTTTCTTTAGGCGACTCTCACACGATCTTCTCAATTCGGGCCCATCCGACAAATGTGACCCGTTAATAAGCCAGAAAAAATACTGTGGGATACTTTGGCATTGGTCTGTTCGAAGTGTGCATTTAAACTCGGTCTCTTGCCCTTCTATTTCGTATGGACTTACTCTGGACAATATTACCTCCTGTGTAGAAACTGGAGAAAATGGCATAGGATATTATATTATTCCATTTCAGGAAGCACAAACATAATGGAATATTTTATGAAAAATCTCACTGTCCACTTTGTTCACAGTTGCCGCATAGGCTAAAAAAGTGACCACGCACAGTAATCAGATAAACACACACACACACACACATGTGTATTTGCCTGCTATATTGTCCCTCTTTGGTTGTACTCTTGAAGACCCCCATATGTTTTGTACATGAATCCAAATTGGGGAGCTCTCGGGAAGTGGGAACCCTATTGTCCTCTATTGTTCAACGTCCCCTATTGAATGCAGAAACAAACACAAACATACGATACATACATAGTTGTGGACATTCTTTTGTTTTCGTGTAGTTAAGAAAAACCTGTGAAAAAAACCTCATTTCACTCACACTGTGAACAAACTCTTTCATCCACTTTGATTACTATGATTCCCTCGACTGTTTCTTTTTTTTTTTTGCGACGAATAAAGCTTACTCAAAAAACCCTTTTTAACCAGACAGGGGGAAATCTTGTGTGGACGTGGGTAAGTCCACACAACGTATCTGACACCTGGTTTATGGTGACATCTTTTGCTCGTAACTAGACTCCACACAGTCAATGTAATGCTTGCACACACACAAACACAAAATAAAGAAAACTTATCTGAAATTTTCATTACCTAAGGTTTCTTGTTTTTATGTCGGCTATTTTTTGTTCTCGTTGATTGTTAAGTTGAACAGGTTCACGACCTAAAACAGTATAATTCAGGTATTCCTAATAGCCTTAAAATAGCCAATAAATCTCAACACCAAGCATTCCCGAGAAAAAAAAGTTGTTAGAATCAGGTTTAGCTGAAACCTATGTTCGAGAAACTGTCACACAAAGTTACTGCTTTCGTTTCAATTTGTTATTCATGTGAATGTCTACTGATCTTTCTATAATTGTGTCACTGATTGGCTTAACCCTGTTTTTCTTTTCAGTTTTGTTTAAAAAAATGTTCCAAAAAGGTGGCAGCCTACTTACCTGGGCACAATATGTTGAAGATGGAGACAATTAGTAGAAACATGTAGACACCAATAGAAGCTCGCTTACCTGAGGCCATTGTTGGGTGTGTTAATTCGCACAAGGAAACAGCAATTCATATGTAATCGTAATTATTCAGCTTGCTTGATTGAATGAAACAAAGATAGCGTCATGCAATTTCACTTTCTACATTTGCTTAATTTATTTTTACTACAAACAATGTGAGGTCAACGAAAGGCTATGAAAAGCTATTACATTTTTTGTTAATCATTATATCTGAAAACAATACGGACAAAATGCCGGGCACTATGCCCTCATTTCAACTTAACAACTCAAAGAAGTAAACCTAGTCTGTTATGGACAGGGGGAATGAAAAAAAAAGACCCAAGGTCATTAAAGTACCCTGGTAAAATATAGCTTGATTGCTGGAATGTAATTAGGGCGCAGATATTTACATGATGAAGTTCCCCTTAAAGTGCCAGTTTGTTAACATTCAAAATTAAAATACGGTACCCGGTAGAGAGTGCGGTGCGGAAGTGGGTGGATGGTCGCGGGTTCGATCGAGTCCTGGCCAGGGAAAAGACGACCCGTGGCAGGAAAACATGAGGCGGGTTCGTGTTCCGTGGCAGCGCCAGCCCAAATATTATTTGCCTTTTTTTTTATGAATAGATGTATAAATACCGGTATAAGTAAAAAAATAAGTAAAATGTTCTGCATGGATGTTTGGCCGAGCGGGAATACAACCCACAATCTCCTGCATGAGCATCAGGGTCCCCACAAGTAGGCCAAAAAAGAGCAATTTGAGGCCTACACGCTCTTCGTTGGTGACATGTAAAAAATAATATATAAGTATTCTGCTTGCAACAATGCGAACGAAACAGCGAGCGAAAGTCTGCTTATAAGGTTAGCGCGCATGCGCTTTCTTACTCCACCCCCCCCCCCCTCGAAACGACAGCTTAGTCAGCGCGTATGTCAACTCCTTCTGAGGGATATTTGAAAACTTCAGTTGGTGACAGTTAAAGTTTCTTACCAAAAGGAAGTACTGTTCGGCAATGTTAAGAAAAGAAAATGTTTTCGACGAAGAGAAAGTTCGGAACCCAAATTTAATTTCCTAAAACTTGACCAAAAGTACGAAAACACACTAACCATTTAATACAAATGCTAGCTCCATGCACTCACTAGCCTATTGATCGAGAAATAGCACACATGTTCAAATACATTTGGACTTCAAGCTAATAAAACGGGTCGCTCGGAAATAATGGGAAACCTAAATTATCAGCTGAAAATATTATTGTGAAATATTAATTTATTTCTTGCAAAGTATGTTTCAACCATTTATCTGTGTGACTTATTGACACGATATTACAAAACATTTTTTTCTGCTATGATGTGGGATATGTGGTTTTTAACCCATGGTTTGTTTCCATGGATCGAACTATCAGGATCGAGGATTCAATGTTGCTTGAAGATAAATTGTGATGTACATGTACCAAAAAAACCCTGATATTGTAGAAGAATGGCAATAATACAAATCAACTATTATCAAACAGTTTTTAAAGGTTTAAATGTCTCGAAGCAGTTAGAAATTATTTACAAACTACAGATGTATTTGGGAAACAGTTGTGCATGGACCGAGTTTAGGTTGAGAATTACCACTAGTAGGACGAAGTAAAAGAGTAGATTTATTTTCAGTGCAGTGTATTAAAGTGATTATTGGTGAGTGGGCCCCTTGTTTTATTTAAATTCATCGACAATGACAGTACAAAGTGTCGACCCATGCATACAGTCTCTTTAAGAGAGTAAGCATTCCGTCTTGTTTGTTTTCAGACGTAAGATTTGTTTGTAAGATTTGTTAATATAGCTTATGATATATGGGTATTAAGAAGATGCCTTTCCCTAGCAGATGACATCCAAAAGGTTCACATGCAAGTTGAATACTGTCTCCAACTGTTGTCTCTAACATCAAAACTTTGAGACGGCCATATTTTAGACCCCTTGCTCGGCGTGCCTTATTTAAATTCAGTTATTTAAAGTACAATGTGTCTCAGAGGAACAAACACTTGCTCTTTAGATGTGACCTTGGATTCAAGGGGTCTGTTGTGCTCTGACTGCCTGAATGACTGGCTGAGATACTGAGTGAGAGTAAAAAGTCCTAAATTGAGACTCTCGGCTCGAAAGGGCAAATATTATCTTGTTTATCACAAGATGTGCATTACAAAACAACTGAAATAGTCGGTAGCTTTTTTCCAGAATAATTCTCGATGGCAGACTCTTTACTTCTATAGCCTCTTGCTCTTTCACCCTTGATGTTTGACCGCAATTTGCCAACAGTTGCAACGACGCCGACTATGAACACAGCCACCGCAGTCGGTATGAGGATGGCGAGCAGCAATACCTCTGTGAGAAATAAGACATAAGACATAATATGACCATCAGCATTAGGAGCTTTGCAATATGGAAGGAGGCGGCACCACCAGCAAGCAATTGATATAAAGTTTCCTCAACTTAGACGTTTGTGCCCAGCTCGACTTAACAAAGATGGTCTCTTCAACATACCATGTTTGTCGTCTGCAATCAGTTTCACGGTTATCTCTCTGAACACTGTGCCTCCGTCGGGAAACGTCGCCCTGCATGCGATGCTTCCCTGGTGATGCTCTGGGAGTATCTGCAGATCGATCCGACTCGAGGTTTCCCAGTCCTCGTTGGTCTCACCTTGGCGTGACTGACTCCAATCTGGAGAGATCTCTGTCTGTCCCATTCCCGAACGGGCCTTGGTATTGATCAGCCAGGTGATGTTACTGGCTGGACTCGAACCTGACGCGTTGCAGGCGAATCGATAGCGACTTCCGATTGTGACATCAGCGCTGCACTCCGTGTCGCTCTCACATGAATGTGTGGTGTTGACATGCAGGGTCACGGCGCTTGGTGGATCTAGAATAAAACCACCGTAATTTATGACCAAGCTTTTTTTCGACTTTCAACCCGAGTTCAGTAGTTCAGTTTTCGCAAGGCAGGCTGGTTCCCGCCCTCAACCAGAATCGAAAATGTAGGGACCTGGATTCAGTCTACTTTTTTTCAAAGGGTTGCAGAAACTCAAAGTAGACCCGGCGGTTCGGTTACTTTGGGGTCGGTTACTTTGGGGTTATACCGTGACTTTGGGGTGATTCCGAGTATTTTAGCAATACTCGGAACTCTCACAGCTGTTCAGGCTACACAGAAACTAATGACAAACATGTCGTCTTTCATTTTCCATTCAATTTTTGTTGGGTTGACGAATGAGTTTTTGAGAAATTCTCACCCCAAAAAGACCACCCCTAAAACGAATGATGTTCCCCAAACTGGAAAAGTAGCCATTTTAAAAAAAAAGGTCTCCTGCACAACATGGCTAAATAGCGCCACTTTTGGACCCAATCGCATCCAAAATGCTCAGAATCGGAAGCCCCAAGTCCAGGCCAGAGCCTAGTGCAGTTCTATATATGTCTTCAATTCCACAATTCCATGGCTCTCTGAATTCTCTAAAATATAGAATAATTTGAGTGCATAATTTTTATTCATGAGCTCGGCGGACGGATTTTTGGCATATTTACTGGATTGAACCATTGGGCCAGACTCTAGTAAGCGCGATAAGTCATGTGAGGGTTATATCGAAAGCAGTTGCGGTTGTACGAGTATAAGCGCGGAGGAAGTAATCGAACGCTGTGGATCACGTTCAAATTAAAGAATATAAGGTATAGATTTAGCAATATTTAAAGGAGAGGACTACTTACATATTACGTTTAGTGTCAAGGTCGAGTTTTTCTCAAGCGGATGCAGCAGACACATCAACGTGGATCCAGTCTGGTTTCTGTGCAGCGTTATCATTTTGCTACTTTCAAGCGTTGCTGGAAATTCGTCAGGGTGCTCGAACAATGGATACCCGTTAAGGAGCCAGACTGAGTGTGAGAAATAGTCTCGATTGTAATATTCTCTTCCGACTGTACATTTAAACTCCGTCCCTTGCCCTTCTATTTCATACCGACTTATTCTGGACAATACTACCTCCTGCGAAGAAACTGGAGAAAATGACATTGGGATATTGTATTATTCCATTTCGGGAAGCAATAACAAACTGAAGTAGAATATTTTATGATATACTCGATAAAATCTCGATAAATCAAACTCTGATAACTCAAAACAACTGTTAATTCCAACAAAGTATCCATTCCCTTCAGCAGTATAACAATGATATACAGCCCTGCTTAACTCAAAACTCTGCTTAAGTAGAATTTTGAACCTGTTCCTTTGCGGTTTGAATTATCGAGATTTGACTGTAATACACTGTTTACTTTGTTCACATTTGCCTCATGAAGGCCAAAGAGTGACCACGCCCATGAAACCGACTACAAAATAAAATAAAACATTTACAAAAATATCCGGATAATAATTCCCCGCAACTGCTCCCAAGGTGTACATATTACTCTGACGTCATGATGACGTCATCAGGTATGAAATGACAAGCGATTTGTTTTCAAAATATTACGGTTTTGTCCTTTATAAATCATGAACAAAATGAACCATCACGCGCATACTCCGCGACCTGAAAGACCATACCTTAATGAACATTTTTAATTACCACAGACAAAGTCGTCTGACCTTTCCTTCCGGGGCTACTGGGATATTGAAGTTAGGTGAATTCAAAATATAGAAATGAGCCTCTAATCAAAACAAACCAAGATTTCTTCCAAACGGTTGAGGGGGTGATCATAAAACCTGGTATGAACTAGGACCTCAGTCCGAAGATGTTATAACTTTTGTGACGTCATCATGACGCCATCAGGTATCAAATCACAAGCTGTGTAAGTTCAATATTGGACTAATTACTTTGGATGTTTACTTTTAATGATTGGAGTGCTGTTTTCATTGTTGGTGATCGATTAGACATTGCCTCGGGCAATATTTCGGATTCCCAGGCACAACGCTGCTTGACCTTTACTTCCGATGTTACCGGAAGTGATGTGAAAATTGAATATCACTTGAAAATGAAAGCCATTTACAACAGACACACAAATTATGGAAGTCCTTAGTCACTGAGTGAGGAAGGTTAAAAAAACAAAAAGGACGCCCTCTAGCAGCTCTTCAAAGACAGTAAAACATTTTAAATTTAAAAACCATTTATCACAATTTTACCACATTGCCCCTAGATATTCTTTAAACGGCCACAAATGACTTTGCAAGGTTTCAGAATCTTGACGTCATCGTACCTGAAGTTATCATTGGGAGAATTTAGAATGATTTTTCCCCATGTTCGTAGATTTAATAATGATATCGGGTACAATATTGATCTTCAGCTTCAGAAGTTCTTGTTACTTCATGGTGAGTATATATCCTCTCTGACTTAATCAGCATTCAGTTTGTACATTTTTACTGATGACGTCATGAAACCAGAAATAACGTGTACGTGTTCAGAAAAGTATATTGAAATTTATCATAATACAAAGATGCCTTTGTTAAAATGAAACTAATGGTTTCACTGGAATGGCTGAATTTCAGAATCTTTTGTTTTTCTATTGTGACATAAAAAAATATTCACAACTGGGCAGTGTCATACGAAATAGTTTTCGGTCCGATCACCTAGCATTTATAACTCAATAAACGCAAATCTCTAGGTTTTTTCCCCCAAAAGATATCACAAATGACAAGTGACAGACTGGCAACCTACTTACCTGAGCAACATTTGTTGAAGAAGGAGACAATTAAAAACAGGTATCCGCATGAAGATCGCTTACCTAGTGCCATCGTGTGTTAGTGTGGTGTGGTTGTTTGCACAAAGATATAATCATATGTATTCCCCTGGATTGATTGATTGGTTGAATGTTTTCAGATATACTGAAACAAAGATCATATGTCCTGCTATTTCACTTTCAATATTTACATAATTTATTAGAACTACTGTACATGCAATGAACGGCCAAAGACAGTATACAGTGCCAGTCCAAAACATATACACTTTTAAAATTGGCCATAGTTTTATTCTGTAGCAATATAGATAAGATATGTTCATATGTAATTTTAGAGTAACGCTTCCTGCTTCTTTTGGTGACATTTTTACTTAGTTTTCATGCATGACTGCACAGGAGACAATTAAAGGGGTCGGGTGAAATCTGACTTGTGCCGACTGGTCAGGGCTGGATAAGAATGAGACAATTTAAAAGAACACACTATATGTAAATATAGAAAGTGAAACAGCATGAAATGTGATCTTTGTTTCGGTATACACTGTATAGGGCATGACAGGCAATTGCACTTTTTTATGGATGGAAATGTCGATTATTGCTCACCTCAATTCAACATCACCACGCAAAGAAGTAAACAAACCTAAGAGAACGTGAACGAGTAGGATAAACAAAAAATACTTTTTAAAATATATGGCTTACTCAATTTAATATAAACAACAATAACAGCAATAAAACGCAGGTTCTCATCAGCGTGAAAATGTCCAGTAAATTCCATGCTTTAATCAAAAGTTACCTCAATTTAATAGAAATACCACAGCGTTTTGCTGTCCACCGCTGATCATTCACCGATACGCATTGATGATTACCTTTTAATTATAACGAACATTGCTTTTCTTTCTATCACATGTATGAACGGAAACGTGCAAAGGAAAACAGACGAAACTCAATGTCATCATTTCAGAGAAAAAAAGAAGAAGATTTGTTCCCCATATTCAAAACACAGAGAAATATAATGTTTCAGTCTTGACTAAAATTATTAAAATCTAATTTGTATATGAATGTCCGTGTGTAATTTTTGGTTCTCACTCAGCTTCAAAGCATTCAGCATTCCAGAGGCAGCTGTAAAGATAATGGGTTCGGTTATTAAAACATGGCTAACTTTTGATATACCATGAATCAATTTCAGTATTTTTTTTTCACACGAGTGGAAGAACATCCTCGTTTAATACGTGTTTTAGTGGTGTATCAAATGTAATTTCTTTTAAGAGGAAAACATTAATCCAAGTCTTTGACTCATCCTGTAGGTTGTCTTGAAAATAAGAAATAAGAAAACAAGATCAATTATCTAGGCCTACTGGAACAATTTAAATTGCCGGACTTGACTGAAGGCGCAGATAATTATTTAGATGATGAAGTTCTCCGTAAAGTACCAGTTTGTTATTAACAGTGATAGACATATAAGGATTTTCAAATCTTGAAGCATCGAACCACCCCCCCCCCCCAAAAAAAAAAATCTCGTTCACAAATTCAGGGTTTCACTTCGGCCCAGTACCAGCCCTAATTGTGTCCAATCTCCAAGAAGGAGATTAGATATTAAAGGGCGCCATTTTAAAAGTAGCCGGCAGTTTCATGGCAAATCTAAGTGCCGTAAACTCGATATCACTTGATTTAGCCCCGTTTAAAGATTGAGCTTTTGTATTGTCGAGTACAAATTATAATTGTACTTTCGAGTAGAAAACGACTCTTAATCTACTTGAGACTTGAAAGGAACTTCCAGTGAAAACGTCAGTATCATCGAAGATCCGATAACTCACAAGTCGGAGATCGTAATTTCGATTCCAACTCAGCACATCTTATTTAAAAAAAAAAGAAATTCCCAGTTAGAAGACGATGCTACAAATATGTGAATTGTTTGCCCCCTCGAAAATAGTGGTGGCCTCGTGCTAGATCTTCCTGCCCTAAGTCTAGAGGTAGCGGGCTGAAAACCCGGCTAGATTTGTATTTTTCTTTCACTCTATAAGTACAAACGAAGCTTCATATATTTGTAATTAGAAGTCCTGCTGAAGAAGTGCCGGCGTCCCGGAGGTAAATCACGGAGCTCCTGTTCCGGCGAACCGGGTTCGAATCCAGAAGTAAACTGCTCTGCTGGTATATCGACCCGGGCGGGAATCGAACCCAGAAACTCCGGCATGAACGTCAGAGTGCCTACCACCAGGCCCACACGCTCTGCTTACATGAGGTGTACAAACGTAATATTTAACTGCATGTATTGTGCTTGGAATAATGCAAACAAAACAGTAAAAGAAAAGTCCAGAAATATGGAAAACTAAGTAGAGTTAGCGCGCATGCGCTTTCTCATGAGGGTTGAAGAAAGTACAGCTAAGTCAGCGCGTATGTCAACTCGTTCTTTGGGGATATTTCAAAGCTCAAGCATAATTGGTGACTTTTCAAATTTCTTGTAGAATGGCTAAATGTGGTTATAATTCTAGACTGAAATTGGGAGTCAAAAGAAGTGTTTGCCTTAGCTTTTATGTGTTTACAATGTGAAGGAAACACTGTGCAGCGAATTGTTGGAAACTGCTGGGACTGGCAAAATACAAACACAGAACAAATTTAAATTGTGATTTGCTCGAATGTGGCATGCTCGAATTTATTCATCACTTTAAAGTAGTGCATGGAGAGTAAGCTCCGTACTTCACGCTAAATTTGGTGAGCAATAAACTCAATTTACATATTAATAAAAGCAATGGTTTTGAATGATCTTAATATGTATAACTTGATCACCTAAACTACTTTCAACAAAGCTGTACTCAAAAGAATAGAAAGCTGGAATAGATTGTAGGTATATACACCAATTAAAAAAAAATACATCTTAAATAATTCTGCAGCAACTTGCCATGAAAATAACTTGTAATATTTATAACTCCATTAACATGATAAACTTCCTTCCAATTGTCTTCAGTGGAACTATAACAGAAATGTCGGTGTAAAAAGCTTCCAAAAGTCACGACTATTATTTTATTATTCAAGGTAGAATCTTTCACGTGCTAGCGATTCACAATTAACTTACGACTTCAAACATCGATATCAATATCACTCTTCAAGATGGAAGAATATGTACAATGCAATAGACAGGGCAGTCAAATTTATGTTACTGAAAAAAAATAGTATTTTGGTTGGAATATGCATTTGTACGATACAGCAGCTCCATAGCTCTGACTAGGCTGAAGAAATGCAAGACACGCAACTTGCACATGTCTCACGTGCATCGGGGAAACTGATTTTTCTGCTCAAGCGGTTAACTTCATCGACACCATTGGCAAGATGGTTCCACCTGAATCATTCAACCACATTACAACGAGTGAAATCTGCAGGCGTTTTAACTGCATGTTTCAAAAAGGTTAATTGTTTACAAAGATAAAAATGCAATGTAATTCGCTTTCTACACACTATTAAACTTTAGTATACGCATTGTTACAGCGCCTTTTCTTACAACATGTATATGTAAAATATATTGCAGAATGACAATAAAAATCAACAATTTACATAATTTAAAAGGTTCATCTTTCATGAAGCAGTTAGAAATTATTTACAAATTGCATATGTATTTCGGAAACAGGTGTACATGGCTACATGCACAGAGTTTCGGTTGAGATTAACCTCTAGAACTAAAATGAAAAATTTATTTAGTGCATTAAGTGTTGATTGGTGTCAGTCAGCCCCTTGTTTTGTGATTTCAATTTACCGACAATGAAAGTGCAAAGTGTCAAACAAGCATATATACAGTGGGACAAAGCATGTCATCAGTGAGGGCGCTCTATATGCTACGATGATTTATAATTGTTATGCGTGTCATTTCACAGCACCTAAGTCTCTTTTCATGATGCCTTTATTTAGAATTTATTTTTCACCATGTTGAACAGTGACAGCAGAAACGCTGCGAAGTCCCGAACGGCTGTACAAGTCTCACTTCTGTCAGCTGAAGAATTGTCTGTGGAACCATGAGGTTCATCTGTATTGGGAATTGAGTTTCAGACATGAATGTCATTAGTTACATTTCTCTGATTTTTGATGGGAGAAAATATGGAGGCTTGAAACAGAGGGAGGGGCGGATAGGACATAATAGTCCAATACCTGATAAAGGGACAATATATATTTTCATTCAAACAGGTGTTTAACCGGACAGTGCTATTGTAATAGGATTATGCCGTAAAACCAGAATGAGTGGGATACATCCGGCCCACTGTATAGACCAGATGCATGTAAAGACTTCAAATGGACATCCATTCTGAATTCATTAAAGAGCAATCTGTGCGCTTTGGGACCAGCTTTACTAGGCTTGCCTTGTCTTGTTTCATTCTATTGAAAGTGAAGTTATTGAATTGTAAATAAAGTTTACTTGTCAATTGTCTTTTTTTCACAACGAATAACCCATCAAATGTGTGTGTTATCATTATTACCTGGAAGAATAGTGACAGTTACAACACCTCCCTTCTCTGTCCATTTTGCGGCAACTGAGGTCGGTTCTCTCGGCTTGGCACTCTGATTGGCCTCGGATTCATCTATAGATAAATGACATAGCCTAGGTCATGTCACAAGTCATAGGTCACACTGATTGCAACATGTCTTCCAATCGTTTGTCACTATTCCTTTAAAACGTTTTTGAAGGATGATAAAGGAAGGGCGGTAGAAAAGCCCCTCGTTCTTTTTCAACAAACACAATAACTTTTTTGAGGATTTGAGGTGTACGCATCTTGAAGATGAAGGGGTATGGACCATGAAACCACTATTTACGATAATTAGCTGTAATCACAGGAAACCATCATCTAATCTGCACTATATCTCTTGAAATATGGGTGGTTTAAGAGTGTTGTCATTTTACTGTTAATTATTAGCAAGTTTTACACTAGAAAGATGCTGAGTTGTTCGTTTTGCCTTTCGGCTACCTGTCGGAATGACGTCCAAGCTGACATGGGAAGGGGACATGAGTTAGAAGTTTGCCCCGAAATCTTTTTAAGAGTACAAACTAAGGGTTTAGTTAAAAGCATGCAGTATTTATAG